CCAATAGACCCAGAATACATTGGTCAGCATTGTCCAATAAGTTCTTCCTCTCTTTCTCAGTTTTCGACAAAAGTAGAGAGAAAAGTTAAAAGAGTTAGTTGAAATTGTTTGAGGTTACTCCCCGGGTCAATTCGGGGAGGGAAAAAAGATAGATTTAGGAAGAGGTGTCCCCATCAATGTTCCTTTTAAGTTTATTTTAGCACTCAACAATTGAAGAAAATCAAAAATGTCTCTAGTAAAACGCTATCAGTATGTATGGGAGTCTTTTTGATATTTCATAGCGAAATCTGTCGATAAAATCTTGAAAGAGAATTGGCTCGAAAAGCAAGTTAAAATCTTTTAAATAAAAGTTAAAAAATGTCTGACCACATTCTAAATATATTACTGAACTAAAGAACATTCTTCTTTGGTTTAAATCATCACGGATAATAGAACTATGTTACTTGTTGTAAATCATGAATGATTTGTGGTGAACTTTAAGCCCAAAATTTTCCTCACCTTCCAAGATGACAAAAAACTATTTTCAGTTCTTCACAGCCTATAAAGCCAATTCCACCTACAGCTAAGGAGCAGTCTTTGTATCTTTCGTTCACTGATAGCGGTTGTATAGCTTCCAAGCACTGAAACAGATGGAAAAACAATTTTTTTCTCCTGTTTAGATTCGCCCCCGTCGGCTTATTTTTCTTAACAACGAGAATATTACCTGCAATCTCATTTCTTTGAATAGGCTGAAAGTTTTTCATCTCCATACCTTTGATCTCCGCTTTAAATCCGGTTTAGAAATTACTAGCAATGGAAAGCGGCTTTATTTCAATGGCAACCCCCTGAAACGTCTTGCTTCTTTTTAAATGTAGACGCTGATTTTAAACGTAAACATTCCATGCACGTTCCGTTAAGAAATCACAAGTTTATTTGCGAGGTAATTTTCTGTGCCACCAATGATGCGAAGTCGCTCCTAAAGTATTTATATTGCTGATACTTGCAGAAACAACTCGAAACTCTAGCAAAACCTATAACTAAGCCGGAGCTATCAGATAGTACTTTCGTTTTCTAGACGACATTACAACTTTACTTTGCAGAAAAAATTTTCAACATCCCACTTCATTGATTATTTTGGGAAATTTTGAAAATCATTTCCTTTCCATTTGAAAATGGCGAGTGCCAATCAAAATTAAATACTACCTCTATATTTGGAACTGAACGAATTTCTCTGATATTTTGATCGAAGTAAATATATATTTGATTTGATCTCTTGATGCCGAAAAGGTGTTCTTGCACGACATCACAAGCATGACCTCATAAAGAACCTAGCTACAAGAGCATCTGTGTGGTTGAAGCAGGGAAGCCCATTCCACCATCATCTTTTCCACAATTGGGCTCCAGTGGTTTCAATTCAAATGCATTTATTCGCTTTATAATGTTTGTTTTCATTTATTATTAAAAGAGCGCTACCGGCGAGGAAAATTTCAATTAAATCTTCCCTACGTGTTCCCTACTGTCCCTCGAGTGTACGTGTGATAGCCATTAAAGAAACTCACGTAAACAAAAACAAAAGTGGCGACAACAGTGTTTCTTTCCTTCGGAAAACATAAGAAAGAAATGTGTTCTCGTTCGTGACTCTCTTGTACTCCGTTCAATCGTTCAATAACCACAGGGAAGCGAGCGAAAGAACACCCCGAAAGCGATTCCAGTGGATTCTAGTTTAACCCGGCTTTACCCTCTGACAGCAGTATGTATATTCTCCATACTGTTTCTCTACATTTGCTAAGGTGCTGACAAAGAGAATTTGTTTTACAATCAAGAGCTTCTTTGGTCGGTGATCATTTCCTTTATTCTTGTCACCTCAATGTGTGATTCAGGGGTGATATTGTAAGGAGAAATTAGACGCTGGTCACACTTATGGGTTAAAGAATTAATGGAGACATTTTCATTTAAGTGTCGAGAGTAGTTTGGAATGGTATTTTTTAAAATTGATTTTTCTATGTGACTGATCCGGCAGAATCTCACGCCACGTTCTTAACCAGCTAGCAAGAAATTCAACCTAATCGCGATTGGAATGTATTGTGCAAACAAGTGGCAGACAACAAGCCGCATTCAAGATGGCGTTGGTACATACTTCTACAT